AGAGGACGAGATGGAGTGTTAACAAGCTTCTACATTCTCAGTCTGGCCGCGGGTGTGCTGCCCCCATCCTGGAGCCGGACTCTCCCACGGGGGGCGGCTCGGCGCGCTGCAGCCATCACCTCTTTATGAGCACTTCGAGTGGCCTGCTTGCCGACAGTTGCCAGGCGAGTAACTCGCTGAAAAAGGAGAATCCGCTGTGAAAGGTGGTGATTCAGAGGCTTGAGTGCTCGCAGGCACCCTGAGCCAAAATAATTAGATCAGCGTCTTTTCCCAGGTCTCCACACTGGCCCTTTTGTTGGCCTCCCTCCAGTGTGGTGGCAGCGGCCTGCTGATTACTGCTGTGGGCCGCTAACACGAGGGTTGAAGGTTCAGTCCTAACTAGAGCTGACTTGGGAACTGATAAGATGCATGATAATAGACGTTACAAGAAATTACAGAAGAAGAAAAAAATGCATTTACGAGCATGACTCGAGCATGATTTTTTTTATTTTTTTATTGTATGAATCCAGTCTTTAATATAGGCAGTTGGGAAGGATAGAGATTACAAGTTACCTCGTAATAAAAAGTACTGTAACTGATTACTTTTTCATTACTTTTCTAAATTTCTAATAAATGTATTCAACTGGCAGGGTTAACCTTACAGTGATTACGGTCAGCCTTTCTAAATCCTTTGTCACTTTAAGATTAGAATAATTTCATTTTAAAGCACAGCCACCACAAAATCAGACTTTAGCACCTCTTCTTACTTTGAGGTCATTCTGAGGTTAAATACTGATTTTAAAATCATAACAAGAAACCGTTTAATAGCTATGATGCTGTTTTTGAAATCAAATCTTTGCATAGCTATGACAGAAAACACTGGCATCTAACAATGCCTTGGAAAAAAATACAGTTGATCTTAAACAATAAAGCGCACAAATCCTAAAATGAAATAAAACGGTTATTAAATAAGCATGTGTCCTATTCTGTGAACTCCTGACACATTGGTGTCTCAAATTTTAGCGCAGTCTTTTCAATTTGGGAAAGAAATCAATCAAATCTGTATGTTTGTAAAAAATATTCAGATGTAACCCCCTTTGTAATCATTTTCATAAGTAATTTAATTACACACTTTTTCTTTTAGTAACTGTAACGGATTACAGTTACATTTATTTTGTAATTAAATTGTCATTCTGTTACATGTAACTAGTTACTCCTCAACACTAAATATAGGAGATGTCTCGGAGACGTTCAAAATGCGTGTTGTTGAGGCCTCCCGGAACAGTTGAGGTGAGAACCGCTGTTATAGTTTGCATATTAAGCTGAGATTGGAGAAAGTAGTTTAACAAAAAAATGTAAATCACTGTAATGTTTTCAGTAGCATGATTGTTGTAGTGTGTGCAGAGCGAATTCAAGCGAGCTCAAAACCAGTTATAGAAAGTTTGTGAACTGTATTTGTGCATGTAAATGTCCTTGTTTTCCAGACAAACAACATATGCTTTTTCATCTCGGGTTTGCTTCCACAACTCGCTGCCAAAGTCAACCTACTTATTCACTTTGTTTTGCCTTTGGCTTTTCCTTTTGCACATGATTTGAGAGCGGAAACACCTGTTCATGGCTCAGAGGTGCTAAACTACATGTGTTTTACTTTCTTATTTTTTATTTTTATTTTTTTTGTTAAAATTAAACACAACCGTAATTGTGGTGCTACAGAAATGGCAGATGGGCCTTCGCTTTCCACATAATCTGACACCATTTTTACATTTGCTATACAAATCTGCTTTATTTGTATTGACTTAATGACTTAAGACTCATTAACGGCAAGAACATTAACTATATTAGCGTCCACACTAATGAACGATAACATTCTTTTCGTTTATAAGCATGCCCTGCAGTTATCGTCTTCCGCTTTAAATGCTCCAGGTAGTTTTGGGTGTCAGTGTTTTCATCGTTCATCACCTGGAAGAAAGTGTTCTAGTAGTGTCGTTATCATTATAGCTGTGGTATGACTTCTCTGTTCGCATTTAATTAGAGCGATTGCGGTCTTTTACATCTTTTTAAGGTTCCAAAAGGTTTTTTTTTTTTGGTTTTTTTTGCAGTGATGCCATAGAACAGGGTTCCGCAATAGGCGGCCCGCGGGCCACATCCGGCCCGTGAGAGAGAAAAGTTTTAATTTCAAATAATGTGGCATGAAAATTCAAACGCAGCATCAGAACGCTACATTAAGTTACATCGTGTCTACACCGGACGCGAGCGGCAATAAAATACAAGATTATAATCAGTGATGCTGTCTTGGATGCGGCGCGACACGACAAATCCCCGACAGTAAACTGCTGACTCGTTCTATTTATAACGTACTGACACAACATTCAAATGATTTGCAGTGCTTTGTGGCATCCAGTGTAGATACGATGTGACAGCAAAAACATGGCGAGTGTGTAGAAAGTGTAAGTGTGTTGCATGGCAGACATGGAGATTTTTGTTTGTTCATTTGTTTTTAATATTCAACATGCAAAGTTCTTCTGTTTCTAAATGCAAAAATATATTCATCTTGTGACCATCTTATGATTATTTTAACAAAAAGCAACAATAATTGTAATAATAATATATATATATATATATAGGTCAGTGGCCCTTGGCTTGGTATTGTTGGCAGATTTCGGCCCTCTGCGAAGACTAATTGAGGAACCCTGCCATAGAAGGACCATTTTTGGTTCCTCAAAAAACCTTTCAGTAACCAGTTATTAAAAGAACCATTTTTTTCTTGGCGTGATTTTAGTAATCTGAAGAACCTTTTTTCACTATAAAGCACCTTTTGTGCAATTCCTTGGATGTTAACGAATTTTCATGGAACCAAAGAATCCAATAACGAACCTTAATGTTTGAGAGTGTAGAGTTTCTCATCTATGAAGAGACATGGTGTGACCATCTGGTTTAATATTTGGAAATCTATCAATAAATTGTATAAAATGTAAATGTTTTGAATTTCACATCGGTAGAGCATGAATTATGTTCTTTTGCAACTTTCCAATTCTGTGGCGCTGATTCCATTAGGATGCCATTAATAATCCACAAATGGATTCACGTAAAATGTGTACATTCACAAGCGTCCTCTGCTTTTCTGTGTGACTCGTGTCTTTGGATTGTGCATTAGTTTCAGGCACTGGAATGTTTGAGATATTTCATGTGTGAATTAAAAGAGAAATGTGTCTGTAACCCTAGTGTATGTGGGTTCTGCCAGGGCCTCGCCGGCTCTGAAAGACACCATCTGTGTGTGTTATGGCAGATAATCATTCAACAGGCTGCGAGGCGGCATTAAATAAACCTACAGAACCAATGTTTGATTAGCAGAATCACCAACTTCATCAAGATCCTCCTAATCTTTGCAGTTCTTTGTTTTAGCACAGACGAATGTTAAATAGGCAATGTATATTTTACGTAAGTAGTTGGCTGACTTGTCTTTGGAGAGCCAATCTGATTTGTGTTACGCGATGATTTGTAATCTTCCGAATGTAAAGTTGCGGTAGTACTGTAATCATTTTATTAAGAATAAAAAATCCGGACAGGATCATTTTCATTACCGTATTTCAGTACGTATGGGGTAAAACGAGCCATGTGGTGTGTTTGCTAGGACTGTGTGGATGAGTCCTAATCACTCACGAATGCTTCAGCTGGCAGCGCGTTATGGATTATTACTTGAATACAGCACTGTAATTATGTGGAAGACATTGCCCAGCTGTGTATAGCATGTCAAATGTGGTTTTTGACACTGCTTACTTCTATTTGAGGATAATTTGCCTAAAAACAATTAAATTTATTGGAACCGATGAAACGAAGAAATGATTGCAACAACATATTAAGCAAGCATAATTTATGCCCCATATGCAATGGTTCTCACACTGTTTTCAGTCTCAGAAGGAAATCACTCCACACTGTTAAACAAGCATGTAATTTGCCTTTAACCACATGCAGTGAGCTCGTTAAACACCGGCCCAGTTACCATCTGATGATTATATGAAAACTCCACTCGTGTTGTCTGTGTGATCAACTCAATTTAGGGTATTTATGGATCATCTCAGATACCACACTGTCAGCAGTAATGTGTTTTATTATAAATGAGATGCTCTTTTTGGAACCGATGAAGGACAAACTAAACGCCGTTTCAGATCAAACACTCTGGGTTCAAGCCGCCAGAAGCTGATTTTTTTCTTGCATCACAATTAATGGTAATTTTCCAGTGAAGAGAGCTCTTAGTCGTAGTCAAATATTTTCTTTATTATTTTGCTGTTGGTGCAAAATAATATGATCCAAGAAGAATTCTTAAAAAATAAAAAATAAATCTAGCTTTAATAATGCACATGTAGGCCTATCTCATTTTGGTTTCATGTGAAAAATTATTTGGTTTTTTTTTTTGTTTTTTTGGTAAATGTATTTTTGTCACTGATTCCCCACAGAAACATTTGATTTTATATGCCTTACAAGAGTATTGAATTAATATTCACTGTTCACAGTAGAATATGTATATTCAAGTCACTGTATGAATTGCATGTTTGTGTGTTTCTATAAATAACCTGTTGGTAACACTTTAGAATAGGGAACACATTTTCACTATAAACTAGGAGTTTTCCCTCAATAAACTCCTAACTTGCTACTTCTAGTTAGTAAGGTTGTTGTTAAGTTTAGGTATGGGGTGGATGACGGATCTAGAATAAATGCAGAATAAAGCATTAATATGTGCTTTAGAAGTATACCGTCTAGTAATATGCATGCTAATAAGCAACTATTTAATAGTGAGAATTGATCATTAAAATAAAGTGTTACTTGTTTAACCTGTCTTTGAATTTGAATATGGGTTTGCAGCTGCTGCTGTTGTTGCGTATACTCTAGAATTACAAGTTATCAGTTTTACAAGTTACTTTTTACCGATGCTAAGGTTCAGTTATTCCATTATAATAATTTGATAAGAGCTTGTTAGTCGGTTTATTTGAGCACAGGTCTTGACTGATGTGTCTGTTCTGCAGTGGCTGACGTGAACCTGTCGCAGTCTGGAGAGATCGAGGCTGTAGCTGAGGCCCAGAGCGGAGGACTGCCAACAGCTGAAGGTACAGGAACACAAGGCCTGATTAAACTCTATCCCGAAAGCATCATCCCAACACTGTGTATTCATATGACCTTATATCATGCAGTTTAATTTTACTCAACTTTGCCATTTTTATCACAATCTCACAGACCACCAATTTGGAGAGTCCTGGTATACAGCTTCTAAAAGAAAAGTTCAACCAAAAATACTTTTTATAATGCTCAATTCCTTTTTTTTTATTTTTTATAGTGCATCATCAGTTAGCACCACATACAATGGGTCCAAAATCCCTCTCCGCATAGCTGTATATTAAACATTAAATATGTTCTTATTGGCTTTTAAGACCGGTTCACACCTAGAACTATAATGATAACTCTATTAAAAGAGAAAACAAAACAATGGACAATAACATGTTGAAAGAAAAGTTCAACCAAAAATACTTTTTATAATGCTCAATTCCTTTTTTTTTATTTTTTTATAGTGCATCATCAGTTAGCACCACATACAATGGGTCCAAAATCCCTCTCCGCATAGCTGTATATTAAACATTAAATATGTTCTTATTGGCTTTTAAGACCTGTTCACACCTAGAACTATAATGATAACTCTATTAAAAGAGAAAACAAAACAATGGACAATAACATGTTTCTTGTAGGTGTGCACTGCAGTTATGTCATCTGCTGCTTTATATGCTAAAGCTGGATGGATTCTAATTGACTTAAATGTTTTTACAAAGTGATAAGTGATAAAAACACTGGAAGTTGTAGGTAACTAGGGCGGTCAAAAAAAAAAAATTCGTTTATTCGTGGAATTTAAAATAAAAATCCACATTCGAATGCAAAAGCATTGCATTTTTATTGATTTATTTTCTGTATATTGCTGCTGCCACACAGATCTAAAATGAACAGGCGATTTATTTCCCAGCTGTTTACCTCTACAGACATATCCCACTGTTTTAAACTTGTGTGTGAATGAGAACTTAGTTTAGTACTCGCATGCTGTGACAGCCGCTTTCTGTGCGTGTGCTTCGGTTGTGTGTGCTCAGAAAACTTTATATCAGAAGATTAAACTAATACGGTTTAAAACGCATGATTTCAGCGCCAATCACAACCATAACAGATGTTTTTAGCAGGTACGAGCTGTAATGGCGCAGCTCTATTCTGGAAAAGGGGGCGGGGAGCAGCAGCTCATTTGCATTTAAAGAGACAGGCCTGAAAAACAGCGTGTTTCTGCTTCCTTCCAAAATAGGCATTTTCAAAATGATATAATAAATGATCTGTGTAAATAAATGAGTATTTTGAGCTGAAACTTCACAGTTACATTCTGGGGACACCAGAGACTTATATTACATATTGTAAAAAGGGGCATAATATGTCCCCTTTAAATGAAAAAAGTGCTCTTTTGTTTTCGGTTCTTAGTATTAAACTATACATGTATACATACGTGATGCTTTTTGTTTCTAATTGTTTAAGCAACGTAATTAACCCTTGTGCTACCTTTTGGATGTTTTTGTCAGTTTTATTTTTTAAAACTGCACAGCGTGTTTCTGCTTCCTTCCAAAATAGGCATTTTCAAAATAATATAATAAATGATCTGTGTAAATAAATAGTATTTTGAGCTGAAACTTCAGTTACATTCTGGGGACACCAGAGACTTATATTACATATTGTAAAAAGGGGCATAATATGTCCCCTTTAAATGAAAAAAGTGCTCTTTTGTTTTCGGTTCTTAGTATTAAACTATACATGTATACATACGTGATGCTTTTTGTTTCTAATTGTTTAAGCAACGTAATTAACCCTTGTGCTACCTTTTGGATGTTTTTGTCAGTTTTATTTTTTAAAACTGCTATTTTTAATCGCAGTGCCATTTAACTGTAAAATGATGCAATTTTTGTTAATAGGCTTTCATTCTGTTGGCAAGGCTTCAAAATTACATTTTTTACAATTTTTTCAGGTTTGGCCTATAAAGCATATACTCGCTTTATTCCTGTTTTCTGCTTCTGCATATTATAGAGCCAGTTGGATAAATAATGCAGCTATAATTGTGTGGGTGTGTTGGTATGGATGTCAGAGTGTGGTTTGTATGTGTGTCATAAAAAAAATAAAATTGTGTGTGTGTGCTTGTAATATTTGAGAGAGAAAAACTCTACTGCAAATCACAAATCCAACCACTGTGTGCACCAGCAGAGTTTTGCTGGCATCTAATGGGGAAAATATTGTACTGCTCCCAAACAAAATCTTACTGAAAGCTCATTTTTTGAGATATCAACCTCAAATTTGGAACACAACTTGTTTAGATTTATGGCTTTGATTTTCTATCAGGTATAGAGTTCAACATGTTTAATAAAATTTATATTTTATATAAAATATCGTTCTTAAATCATTTTCATAAACATAAACCTCCCAAGCTTCAAATTTTTATGGCACAGATATTTTTGTCCGCTATGGAACTGTGCGCAACTTTTTTTTAAAATTGATGCACAAGGGTTAATTATATATGGTTTATAAACATTATTTTAAACATTATGCACTTTTTTTCAAAGATAGTCGTGTTATTTTATTGCTTTGAAGAAACGTGCATTAGTAATATTTTGCTCTGCGCCCTCTTGTGGCCTCAGGAGAGAAGCCAAAAGCCCCCCCTCCCCCAACAGAAATTATGCCTTTTTAAATTCGAATATAGATCATATTTTGGTGCAAATTTGACAGCCCTAGTGATTAACGCTTTATTTTAAGGACCAATTTTCACTATTAACTAGCATGCATATTACTAGCACATTGGCTGTTTATTATAAAGCACATATTAATGCCTTGTTCTGCATGACCATATTTTAGATCTCATAATATTACACCAAACTTAACTACCTTACTTCCTTTTAATAAGCAGACAATTAGGAGTTTGAGGCAAAAGTCGTAGTTAATGGTTTGTTAATAGTGAGAATTGGACCTTTTTAAAAAAGCGTGACTAAAAATCAGTGAATAACTGCATGATAGGTGTTCAAGACAAGGTTTGGATCATGAAATGCGGCCTGCTATGTCCGTCAGGAGTGTGTCTGCGTTTCTGCTTTCCGTGTGCATAAATCAAGAGTTTCAGGAAAAGCCACCACTTTGCTCTGGCAGGCCAGTTTAATAGCAGCTCTGAGTATGAGCGCTGCAGAGACTATTTGTGTTGGCCACGGGACCAAGGGGTCTGGGGACGAGAGGAAGCCGTAATAGTTTTCAGGAGAGTGAATGAACGTATGAAGGGCAGTGTTTCTAAACCATGCATTACCAATATGAACTTGAAGCAAGAGAAAAGCTGTGAAACACGTTAGCAAGCGAAATGTAGAAGAAACAGTCGGAAATGAATACTTTTGTCTAACCAGGTGCATGATAAATCATCCAGTAAATAATGTCACAGAACAGAACAGTTGTGTGTTCTGCAACAAGACATTTTAATAGATTTTTGCTTTGTTTTATGGCTTTAGGCTAATTAGCTTCACCCACAGAAAGCTTCTGAGGGAGTTACAGCGATCAGTCGTATTACATTAAAGAGCATCAAAACATTCATTTTTTTGGAGTTTTGTGATTTTTAAAATTGTCAATTTGAAAGCTGAGACTTTTCTTAAAAACAACAAAACACAAAAAATGTTGCAATGTTGATCAGCAAATGAATACATCAACTGTTAACTTTGGCTCTTCTTGTAAAAAAAAAAAAGTCTGCTTAATTGTATTGAATGTGTAGTATACTTCAAATCTTAAAAGTATATATTAAAAAAAGTACTTGCAGATAGTAATGAAAAAAGGCCACTTAAAAGTACTTGAAAGTACACTTCATTAAAGTAGACTTCAAAAATACTTTGAAGTGCATTTTAAGTCAGTGTTTAAAACTTTTCAAAAAATATTAAGTTTGAACTAAATGTATATTATTTCTGTTGTAACTTGTTTTTTTTTTTTTTTAAAGAATGCATTAAAGTGTACTTCTCTCAAGGGTTCATAAGAGTCGCTGGCTTCAAGGGTGCATATTCCGTTTTAATGAAGTGTTTGAACAATTAAATATGTTGGTATGTTTGACCAGCAATAACTTTGATCGGTCTGCTACAAATGATGTTTATTGAACTTATATTTACATATCAACTGAAAACAACCATAGGCTAAAAGATCGATCTTGGGATTGAAGAATTGTGATTGTTAAAATGGTGATTGTGAAGCATTGTAAAATCATTATTTTTATCCACCTATCTTGAAATCTACTTAAAGTTATTTGAGCTTTTAGCGTTGCGTTTGAAGGCCAGAGGTTGGTTATATGGTGAGTTATAATGGCTTGTCAGCAGTGCTTGTGTTGTTTATCATTCCAATCATGGCCGCCCACAAGTAGTCAAACCCACTTAACCTCGCCTGCCGGCTGCACTCGCCAGTCCTGGGAGATATCTGTTTTTTTTTTGTTTTTTTTGCACAAGTGGCTGCATGATGGTCCATTCCAACTATGTTCGTGAGTCTTCATTGTTGTCTTCATCATCATCTTTTTTCTGCAATATTCTTCTAAATTCTGAATCATAGGACTAATCTCTAGCTAATTTGGCTCTATCTAATTCTTTTTTTCTTTCAGTAGTTAATGCTTTACTTTGTGCTATTCACAGTATGTTGTGCTTTAGTAAAGTGAAGTGACGAGTACAGCTTGGCATGTTGGAGTGGGTGCAGCTTTATACAGTGTCTTGTTTGCTCTTCCAGTTGCACTGGCATCTATGCATGAGTAATAATGGATTAGTGCAATATTAATTTCACATTCTGCCTGTTCTAGCACGCTGACTTTACCTGACTGTAAGTCTAGCCGCACACAGTGGTTCTTGGTGTCGGTGCTGTGGTTCACTGATGTTGAACACGTTCCTGTACAGTACGTAGTGTCTGTCTCATTATGTCACGTCTTTAGAGCGTCAGCTGAGCGTGAGCACAACACCCTCGCTCATGTTTACAGATAGAGGAGGGCCTGTAACAGCTTGCCTTTACCACAGTGAGGGTATATGGACTCGTGTGTTTTCACGGC